TGGGACTGGTGACTGTGTTTTTCACATCTGACTCTTTCCCCAGGCAGTACTGGACAAGAAGCAGTGTATGTGAAAAATATAGTATTATGTTTATGCCTAGCAGCAGTTGTAATATGTATTTCAGTAGCAAGGCTGAGGCCTGAAATGAGAATGGAGAAAGAGCTGCTCACTCTTCTCTCACACTGCCAACATACTTTATTTTTTGGGGGCTAAATCCCTGTGGTGGCAGGAGTACGTTAGGTCCTGCCTGAGGTTTGTCTGACCAGATGTGAACATCCTGGGCTCACTTTAAAGCCAGTGCAGAGACAGAGGCACATCTGGAAGATTCCGTCTTGTCTTCCCCTGGACATGTAGGATGATGCAAGTCACACCCTTGCAGTGCTTGCCTCTCTCCTTTGCCTGTTGGGATAAGTAGGCTCCATATGGGCATCTCCACTGACAATCCAAGTGGCACAGAGGACACTGGAGCTGAGAAGCAGCTGGAACCTCACCTCCACCTGTCAGGTCTGGCCAAACCTTTAATGCAGAACATCTTGCTCCTCCTCCCACTCCTTGGTTCCAAAACACAGTGGTGTTAGTGCAGATAGTGGTGTTACTGGAGACAGTGGTGTTACTGGGTGTGGCCACTATCTTGCCTCTTGATCAAAGGTTCTGGATCCCGTCATCGGGTTTAGCTTTCTCAAGGATTATGCCTTTCTACTTCCCTCCTCTGAGGTGATGCAAGCATAACAAGTCTGTACCTCTAATTTTGTTCCCACTCATCAGTCTTCTGCCAATGCAGACTGTCAGGAGCTGCCTCAGACCTTGTTTTCAGGCAGCATGTAGCATGGGGAGCTCTCAGCATTGACTGAATCACACCACACTTTGGAAAAAATAAAACAAGTCACGTAATAAAAAATCAGTGTTAATACCTAGAAGAAAAGCATGTAAGTGGGTAACTTTCCTGTCCAAAACAGATTTAAGGTGTGTAAGAACTCTTGTGACTCTGACCAACTGATAATCTGCAAAATAAAGCCCATTACAGTTGAAACATCAACACTTTTATTGTAGTTGTTATTGTGTTAAAAAGCATCTCCTAATTTAAAGAATAAAAGTATTGGAGCTTTCAGCACATCTCTAAATAACTCATTTTGACAGTAAATCATTTGCACTATTGAAAACATTGCCTTATATTGCTAATCTAAGTCTATCCCAGTTCTGCTGTCTAGCATGGGATTGTCATTGTGCCTGTTTCAAGCAGCCTGAAGATTAACAGAGATCTCTTGAGTCTGAAGACTGTGATAAAGTGCTAAAGGATGTAGCCTTTGGATTTTATTAATGTTATTCAGTATTTATGCAATGCATTTTTACTTCATGGTTTACAAGGTCCCTGCCAGGCTCCCAGTGTGCAAGGTTTTGTACAAAACAGAATATGTCCCTGTCCTAACGGTGAGCAGAGAGCAGTATGTTTGGGTGCTTCACTGTTCCTGGCTGTCACCCTCTTCCTCTGGCTCTGCACCATGGACAACCTCCTCCATAATTTTATGTTTGAAACCTCTCCATCTTTTTCTCCTCTGATTTTGGCTGTGACACTACTTTGAGGCATCCACTGGCTGCTGTGGGTTGAGACTGTGAGTCTGGACAGGAGAAAAGGCACATGAGGAAGCAGAAGAGCCAGATCAGCATCCTCAGCAGTCAGAGGCAGTTAATGGCCTCTCACTGGCCCACCCTTGCTTGTGAGCATTGTGGCAGAGGTGAGCAACAAAGCAGCACAGTCAGTGGAAGGACATTCCTCACCAGCATCAGCGACACCTTGGGGAAGTTGTGAAGACAAAAGATTGCAAAGATTGGCATCAAGGCCTGGTTTAAGGTGGGAATCAAAATCCCAACAAAGTGTTTCTAAGCCCTTTCTTAGAGAGTTTATTGTCCTTTCGCCCACCCCCTCCTTTAGTCTTTGGATATCTTAGTTATAATAGGAAAATTGTTTCCCTCTTGCTTTTCTCTCTAGCTCAGCGCTGGGCTCCTTTCCCAGACCAAGTTTTTAAACTAATTTTAAAAAGAGACTGTTTCCCCATGAGACAGAGAGGAGGCAGATACGCTCTCTGACATGCCATGGCATGTTTGCTGGCACTGTTGTGCTCCAAGCCAAATCTCAGTATGCTGAATAAAATGGTGTCTCTCCAGTGAGACTGCTTGCCCTTTCTTTCTCCTTTCCTTCTCAGAAGAAAAGGACAGTCACATACAGCACTGGAGTCTCCCAGAGGTCATGGTAGGAGACAGGAGATCCAGCCCAGAAAAATATTTGGAGTCAAGAATGTTTTGAAAGACTAGAGTAGAGGGGTCAGGCATGTGAGGAGATAGATCTTCTATTTGTAGCAAATCCAGTGTAAGCCATGTGAACAGAGACAGGGCTGGAGGAGCAGTGTGGGAAAGCAGGCAGACAAGCCTAGCAGCTTCTTAGTGGCTAAAGGGTTTGGATGCTCTCATGCTTTTCAGGTTTGTTTTGCAGGGAAGTATTCTTTTCATTGAGACATTGGTCTTGATGCTTGAGACCCTTGGGAAGAGGAATATTGGTCATCCATGTCAGGTCAATGAAGGTGGATGAAAACCTCCTTTCATTCTCCTTTTATTTCTCCTTTTCCTGTCTTCCTCCTAATACTTTCTCCTTCTTTTCTTATCACAGGTGACTTCTCAAAATGCCCTCATATTCTCACTTGACCTATCACAATCTGCCTACTGTGTTTCCTCACACCTGTTTCTATTTGTTTTCCTCCTTAACATTTCCTTAGTAACCCAGTTTTTCTCGACTCCAAATTTTGCCCAATATCCTCCTTTTCCCCCTGGTCAACACCATATCCTGGGTCTTTATCTCTTTTCTTGCCCTTCCTTCTCTCCAGTCTCTCGGTCTTTATTTTTCCCAACAGGCTTTATCTCTGTTATGCCTTGCAAACTCTGTGTACATGCGGTCTGCTGCCTACAGCCTCTCCTGTCTGCCACTGAGAGATCATCTTCCTCACAAAGGGAAATGGAGGGGCAGGCACTGATCTCTTCTCTGTGGTGACCAGTGACAGGACCCGAAGGAATGGCCTGAAGTTGTGTCAGGGGAGGTTTAGGTTGGATATCAGGAAAAAATTCTTCACCCAGAGGGTGTTTGGGCACTGGAACAGGCTGCCCAGGGAAGCAGTCACAGCACCAAGCATGACAGAGTTCAAGATGTGTTTGGACAACGCTCTCCGGCACATGGTGTGACCCTTGGTGTAGTCCTGTGCAGGGCCAGGAGCTGGACTCGATGATCCTTGTGGGTCCCTTCCAACTCAGAATATGCTCTGATTCTATGATTGCTTTTCTCACATGTCCCTTTGACCACATCATCTGCCTCTTTGCATCTTCCTTGGGCTCCCAGTGCTACATCATATTAAATATTGGGTGCACTGCTGGCATTGATGGGCTTGTTGTACTCTCACCCCTCAATGGGTTTGCAGGAGGCAACTCCAGCTCCTGTGAGCCCTCACTGCAGCCACCAGCTCATGCTGCCACCACCAGCTGACACTGCCCACTGCCAATGTAATGAGTATTCTCCCAGAGCCTTTCTGCTCAGATAAACAGCCTTAGGGCTGTTTTGGATCTGATCTTAATACTCCTTTTGGCATCAGTCCCTATAGGCCTCATTCCCTATCCCTACCTATAGGCATCACTCCCTGTTGTGCCCATAAAAGCACCTGATAGCAGATAAGCTACTGCAGCACTGAGTCATCAAAACCTCTGACCAACTGTGAAAATATTTTCTTCTGCTGCCCAGGTAATTGCAAGTCTGAGATCAGAAAGACATCTAATAGCTAAGATTTAGCTTCAGTTCTTGATTTCCCAAGAGCCTTTTTACATGCAGGAAAATGAAATTTTGTGTCTGTGCTTTCCTTTCCGTTGCCTTTCCTGAACATGACTAACTCTTTCTGTCAGGCATGGGTGACCAGTCATCTGCCTGGACCAAAATCAAGACCACTTACTACATTTCCTGCTGTTCTCCATCCTGTCCAGCCTGCTTCTGTCTCCCCAGATGATATCACCACACCAAGAGGTGCTGACGTATTTCCTTGTCTTGATACTTCCAGAAGTCATCCCTGAGTAGAGGAATTATAGAGTGCAGTCTATTTTTAGCCTTTTACAGGCTCCTTCTCTGACCTTGGGGAGGCACTTCAAGCACTCATTGTACCATTTCATCACTTGTAATATGGACTACTCCTACTTTGTGGAATGGTAGCACTTGTGGAATGGTAGCACTTGGACTTTTTTGCTTGGAAAACACATTTTAAAAGGAAGTTGTGCCCTATTGGCACCCAGGATTTTTAAAATTGTTGGTAACACAGCTGATCACATTTCACTTCATGGTCGGGAAAATGCTATTTCTTGACTCTGAGGAACTGCCCTGTAATCTCTTTTCCATCCCCACTATCCTGAAAACATCAATTTTCCAAGTCACTGAAGGAATAGAGCCTTTTACTCAGCAGTAGCCAAGGTATCATAGGCAGCTGTTCACTGGAGAGATAGTTGCTCTCCTGAACATAAACTCAGAGGACCGGTTTCATTCCCTTTATTGCCAGTTCTACAGGTTTGGTCAAAATGTTCAGAGGGGTATGTGATCTGAGGGTCTTCATTCTTCTGCTTCTTTTTAATCTCTTCTGAGAAATGACTTGCCACGGTGAGGTGATGCTGGAGGGTTTTGAATGCCCCATACAGTGCCAGGAGAGATGGGGGGCGAATGCTTTTCCCAGGCATCTAAGCAGCTGGCAGCAGTAGTGATTACAGTCACCCCCAAAAGGGGAAAAGTGGATTCCCAGCAGCTCCAATACCTGCCACCTCTCTTCTTCCACTTCCTCTCCTTTGTCCAGGCTCGCAGCTGGAGAGGACAACTAACACCTTCTTTGGGGCGGTGAATCTGACTTTGCAGCATCCCCCTTGACAGCCCCAGGAACACTTCTGGCTGTGTCAGCCAAAATTCCTGCCGGGGACTGCTGCAATGCAGCACACCACACCCCCGCCGGCACTGAGCTCCAGCCTGGACAGCCGGTGCTGCTCAGCTCCAGCCCTGCACTGCCATAGGCTTCCCTCCTCCTCTTCCCAAGGAGCCGGATGATTTCAGGTTGCTCGGCGTTCTCTCCCGCGGGCAGTTGGCGTCCGCAGCGTGTGTCAGAGCAGCCCGGCGCACGGTCGGTTTCTCAACGTGCTGCCTGCAGAACGCGCTGGCTCCCCGAAGGGATCGGCTGTGGTTTCATATTTCATTTCCCTCGCACGCTACACCCGAATTCCAGACGCTTTCTGGCTTCGCTGCTGCATGGACTCAGAGCATAGGTCTTTTGCCATACCCAGCGGAGGCAGACGGGGCTTCCCTCAGCGCCAGGGAGTGGACCATGAGGACGTCAATTGTATTTTTGCTTTGCATCTCGGTTTTCCCAGGCTTTTCCCAGGGCAGAGTTGTTAGAGAGGATGAAACTGGTTTTGCTGAGTGTAACGTCTTCTTCCCTGGACAAGTCCCACCCGAAGGATTTACCGAGCCGTTCCATGTGAAAATCTGTCAGCAGTACAACAAAGAGCCACGCTTTGCAACCCTCTACAGTACTAAGGACAAAATCCCTCTTTTTTCAGCTTTTAAGTTTACAAAGCCAGCCCAAAGCAAGGAGGAGAACTGGCTGGTTGAACCGCAGGTAAGTCAGCTTTTCCTTTGCTGTAAAGCAAGTGTTCCTGGTGAACATTTCCTCTGGGGTAAAGCTGGGCTAGGATTCTGCTAAGGAGGCAGGAACTCTGCTTGTTGAACTTCTGTTGGTATGAATTTCATATGAACGGAACTTATTCTTCTTCTTGGAACTAAGCAAACAAATAGTTTCTTGTCCCCTGTTAGTTATAATGAAAACTGTGAGGCTTGCTGCAATGCCAGGGGAGAGGGAAGTCCTCTTTGACACCAGCTGATGTGTCTGTCCTGCCCAGCCAGCTCTTGGGGGCAGGGAGAACTGCCACTGGGTTAAACATCGCAGTGTGAAGTTGAAGTTTATTCTGTTGCCAGTGTGATCGCAGTGTTGATAGGAGTTCTTTAGCTTCACTGAGCAGAAATAAAACATCCATTTGTGGTTCACCAAGTTGATGCTGCAGCTTTTTGGTGTGTCCCTGTGTTGCAGACTGTTGTGGGGAAATAACTTGCTGTGTCCTGGAGCGTACAGGCTTCAATCAGGTCAGAAGTATGCCGTATAAATGTTTTGTCACTAGTACCTCAGTGGTTTTTGTCTCTCCTGAAAGGATTTTTGGTCAATGCCATGGAGGCAGCAAGGTAGAGCTGCTGAGATGAGATCCTTCCTCACTTGCTTTGGGCACTGACACCTTTTGTAACCTCTAGCTCCCATATTTCCTCCTGCTCCTTGTGGTCTAACTCTCCAGACCTGCCCAGGCAGGCTCAAAAGCTGTTCCTGCCATGGAGCAGTGGGCAGCCCTTCCATAGCAACTTTGTTTCTCCTGCTCCTTCCTCTATCTGGCTTCTATGCCCTTCCTTACTCCTTTCCTCTTTACCCCTCACCTTGTCTTTGTTCCTGCCAGCACTTTAGAGCCCCAAATCTTGTGTATCCTGCCACTAAAACCTACTGCAGCCTTGGAAATAATTGGCCAGATGCTACTTTTAGTTGCTCTGGCTTCTCCAAAGCATCCCCGCAGGTTTCTTATTTGACATTAGTGGGTCCCCTTCACCCATTGCTCAACTGCGTGTGACTCAGAGATAGAAGGTAGCAGCTCTGCAGTTCACAGCAGGAACCTCCATGTGAGACAGAAAAGTACTAGGAAAAAAGTCTGCAGAAGAAACTGTAAGGGAAGAAATCTGGACAATGAGAATTGCCTATGACTTGAGAAATAAGTACATACACCCTTCTCAGGCAGTACCACACTAGATCTGGAATGACAAAGTGGGGAAGAACTTTCACACCCATTATGTATGCTCTATCAAGGCTAGGTCAGATGGCTTCTGAAGGGAATCCTTAGCAACACCTGCTTTGCAGAATAGTCCAATGAGGTTTTGCTTTCCTGGGCAATTTCCTTGCCAAGACAGAGATAGCCAGGCATGAGCTGGCTAAACTGCACAGTGGTATGTGCATGCACATGGAGATGCAGAAACATAGCAAACAGAAAGAAACCACGATAGAAACACACTCAGCACTTTGATGAGGGCCTCAGGCTTGTCATATGTTTTTTGGGGGATAATGACGTAAGTGGTGAGGAAACCATCTCACTCCCTGCATGCCTACCTCCTCAGGAATGTCTGCCTGAAAAACAATTGCCAAATGCAGCACAGAGCCAATAATTGGGTGAGAAGTGTGAGGAATGTCAGTGCCACCCACTGCCAACTGGCAGCTGGAAACAGTGAATTTATTCAGCAATTAGTGAAAAATTAGAGAGCAGGAAGGGTAGACTGATGGGACTCCTCCAGGCGCAGGTCTGAAAACCTGCTCTGCCACAGATTTCCTAGGGGTTAAGAGCAAGTCACTTAGGTGTCTTTCACCTCATATCATTTTGGTTGTCTGAAAATCTGTATTTGATTCTTTCTGTAGCTTAGAGAGACATGGAAAACTCTGGAGTTGCTTTTTATATCCTAATATATGAGGGGCTGGATGAATACCCTTGTGTTTTCATTTGGTTGATGACTACCACCAGGCAGATGACCAAGGTGGGATTGTGCAGCTATAGTAGAGCTACCTCTGAACTGCTCTTGCCATCTCTCCTGGTAGAGAGTCAAGAGAAACAGGTACTTCTAGAGCCATGTCTTTCTACAGAAATGCTGGCATAAGACACACTTTGCCTTTTCCCTGAGAAATGAATCCCACACTGAGTTTGGATTACATATTTCCACTGCAATCAAATGTATAAGCATGCCTGAGGCAGTAGTAAGGGGAGTAGGATGGTGAAGTTCACTAGGGTGGGGAAGGTGGGAGGTGGCAGTGTCCTGCCTTGTTAAATGACCAAACTCAGTGGAAGTTGCCTGCCCTAATTGCTGTGTGTTGCCATACTTTTAATCCCCCTCTGCCTCTGCCCCATTTGTGATACTGCACCCCCCATTTATGACACATCAATATTGTTATGTGCTAACATCCATACAGGCGTTCAGGTGGGTAATTTTTTTTTTAAATCCCCATCCTATGAGTGAGGTGTTTACCTGTCTGCTTGGATCTTGCCCTGAGCTGTTCCAGGACAGGTGGCTTCATGGCTGACTCCATCAACACAGATATGCTTTGGGGTGACACAAGCCAAAAGCTTTTTGAAGCAGTGAGGAAAGGTAGCTTGCAATGCAGATTAGATGCAGTGGTGCTGGAGACAGCTTGCCTTTGGGGCTGAGCTGGAGGAGGCATAGAAACCTCAGTTATGCGTGAGTTATTACAAACCATAATATGAGTTATTATAAGCATAACTAGGTGATGTCAGAGCCTTACACATGAACAGCACACAGCTCCGTTTTTATCATGGTCTTTTTTAATTGCACCTAAACAATCCCAATGGTATGTGCAAAAGCCTGAAGCTGGGCAGGTAAGCAGGGACATATTTTCTTGATAGGCACCTCAAGATTTGTATGCAGCAGCTCATAAAGAGAGAAAAATTAAGTTTATACCATCTGTTTAGTGTAGACTGGGAATCTTTGCCAGGAAGTAGAGCTGATCTGCCTTGGGTTTTCGTATCCTTGTGGTATGGCAGCATTTGCTATGGGAGTGAGACACGATGAGTATCTCTGTGAGGGTGTAAAGTTCCAGAGGGTCATAGCACTGAGGGCAGATCCTGGGCACAGCCTCTCACCTGTGCCCTCTCCCCCTCACCTGTACTGTGGAATTAAACACACTAGGTGCATCCCTTGTCCCATGGCACACCATCATCTCATCAGAACACTCTGGAGAATGGGGGCTGGGAGTAGGCAGGATGAGACTGATTTTGTTGAATGCTCATCAGCCAGCTGCAACCTGTGAGTTTGGTGTGTCTGAGCAAGAGGAGCAGAACAAGTCAGCAGTAGTGCAGAATAAGTCTTTTTTAAGTGGTACATTTAGAAAAAGCTATGATTTGTGCATCAGCACATGGAACTCACTGTGTCCTTCCAGTCCTGAAGCAAGAAGCATCAGATGCTTCAAAATGAAGAGCAAGAAACCTCCTTTAGCTGGAGGTGGAGGCAATGTAGCCCTCTGCAATGGCCAGTCTTGGCACTGTGACCAGACTTGGTGCAGAGGGAGCTCTGTGCCTTGACTGCAGGGGTTTGGCTGATGCAGGAGGCCAGCAAGAGCTCCAGTTCCTGGGCGAGGGTGATGGACAGCTGCTGACACTTGCTGGCGCTGGCCCTTTCACCCTCACTCTCAGCACAGGCTGGTGAACTTGAGAAGGTAATGTGGATGCAAACTCTGTTGTAAGGTTGCAAGGACGTAGCTGGATGTCTGTCCAAGTGCACTGCAGGATGACCAGGAGACAGGGAATGACTGGGCAGTGATTCAAGGTAGACTATGAACTGACTGCCATAGATGTCTCTGAAGTACATATTAGTACAGTAAACAGTTTATAGGCCAGGGGCAAAGGCAGCAGGTTTAATTGGGCCAGCACAGTGCTGGGAGCTGAGGGACACAGCCTCTGAAACAGACACTATCCAGAGGCAGTGACTGCCGGAGATCGTCTGGCACTCCCAAGCTTCTACCAACATGTTCACCCTCTAATTTGGGGATGAAAATGACAATCTGGCACAGCCCTTTGGAGCAGCTGCAGGCAGCGTCAGTCGGAGTGACTACGGAGGAGACAGGGTTGCAGCCACCTGGGAAAGACCGGACACACCCTGGCATTTAATGCTTCTGAGAAAGACCTGAACACACCCTGACATGTAGTGCTTCTCCTCCCACTGCTGTAACTGCCTGCCCCCTCCCCTGCGCCCTCCCGTCGTGCATGACTCCAGGACAAATTCCCACTGCAGTAATTGCTACCTCTGGCTCCACTGCACTCCAGACACAAGCAGGCAGCACACATTCCATTGAGGACCTGTGGTGATGGCACCCTCATCCATGTTATGCCAGGATCTGTGCGGTCATTAAGGATGAGGTTCAGACGACTAATGACAGGACGATCAGACTACTAATGATCAGCCCAGCGAGAGCCCTAGGAGCTCACTTCTGTATCTCTTGTTCAAGGGAGGGAAGTTCAGGTCACCTCACATGGTGCCTGTCTTCATTCTGGCTTCTTTTATAAGTGGTGAGAGGTAAATGCCTTCTCTAGGCATCTTAGATACCATGGGTTGTTTCCCCACCCCAGCCCCCATGGCTTGGATTTGATAGTTCAGAGGGACTGAATTAAGGTACCATGGTAGCTTCTTAATGAACTGCATGTACCACCATCATAGGAGGTGACAACATGGTCCTGAATCAAGCCATCTATTCAAATCTCTTCTAGAAAAAAGCCAAAGTTAGAGTCTCGGTGCAGGGTGGTTGGTGAGAATCTGGAGGCTGTGCTGTAGACCAGACTGGAGAGCTGCAAGTAAGCTTTGCAGCCTAAACCGATGTGTTTGGCAGGGAAGCTAAGTAGAGAATACACTCCTCTGAAGCACTGCAAGGAAAATAAGGAGGCAGTGCAGGATATTAATCCAAGGTATGGCATGTAGTAGCAGTCATAATGAAAAGTATATTTGAAGGTCCATTTTATACATTGCTTTCTAGAAAGGCTAATTGCATCCAATAACTCTTCTTTCTACTGTTTCAGATAGATGATCCAGAAAATGACTTGCATGAGATGGTGCGTGAGGCCGATATCATTGGCACTGTGGCCAACCTTGGTGCAAATCAAGCCCTGACCTCAGACTATGTGGGCTCTGGCTATGAGAGAGGGCTACTCAATCCCAGCTTGCTTCATGAGGAGGATTTCCAGATGGCCACTTACACGCTCACGAATGCCGTCCCTCTGAGCCCAGCTCTGAGCAAAAGCTGGCACAGAGACATTGGGAAAGTAGTGGAGCAAGCTCTGATCCCTCACTGCTCCAAGAAGGATCATCTGTATCTCCTCACGGGTGCAATTCCTTCCAGTGTCCGAGTTAAAGGCAAGGTGTCAGTGCCAGAGAGCCTGTGGCTGGCAGCCTGCTGTGATGCTCCGGAGGGATGGTCCCTGGGACTAGTGAAAAAGGTTAATGATGAAAACAGCCTGGCAGACCTCACGGTGGGAGAGCTGGAGAAGCAGCTTCTAGCAGAAGTTCGCTTGTTCAAGGGCAACTGTGGGAAAGACAAACAAAACCAGGAGAAAAGAGAAGCAGTGTTGCAAGCTGTCAGTCAGATCCGCTCTGGGGAGCAAGTAGAAACAACTGACAACCAGGAGACCAAAGACAGTGGCTGGGTGAGAAAAGTGGCTGGCATCGTTGCTACCCCTTTCATCAAACTTCTGGAACTCCTCATCTACATCTTTGTGGAGCTGGTGAAATTTGTGTTTTATTTTCTGTGGCTTGTTGTCAAGCGAGTTTGTGGTACAGTTTTGGATGGACTTTACAGCCTGTGGAGTGGGTTGGTGTCCTACCTAAAAGCCATCAGCATGGTCCTCATAAGCATCCCCTATGATTTGGGGAGGGTCATCATCAACATATTCCTGGGCTTTCTGCAAATTGTTCAAGATGTGGTGTCTCTCACCTACAGGATCCTGAGCATCCCAGTGGGGTTTGTCCTTCACCTCGCTGCTTTCCCCTACCACTCCATCTGTGCCATTCCGTCTGTCCTTAAAGACATAGCCACCGGGCTTGGGGGCACCTTCTCTCTGGTCATCGATGCCACAGCCGCGGTTCTGCATGGCTTTTATTACCTGGCTGCTCACATAGTCAAACGGTTTGTCCCTAAAGTCTCCTCTGATGACTGATAAGGATGGAAACCAAGGCTGCAAATACACGGAGTGAAGGAGCAGTGGGGCAATGCTTTAAGATACGTGGACAAACGCTGTCAATTTTGTTATGGTATTTATTGTAGTGACATTATGAACTGACTGGGGAATAACAGGGAGGGCAGAGGCAATGTCTCTGGGGGCCGCCACCATTGTAACTCAAATTCTGCCTGTTGTAAAATGCTCGGGTTTTATTGGTTCAGGCAACAAAGTTTCTGTGATTTGCAGGTGTCAAGATGCTTCCTCTGGGAAATGCTCACTAAATGTGGTACGAGGTTATTTCTTTCTATCTATGATGACACTGAGACTTGCACAGTGGCAGTGAGCTCTGCAGAAGCCCATCCCTGCTAAGAAGGTGATGGTGGTCAGAGAAAGATTTTTGTTCCAGAGGGTTTTCTGGGACTTGAAAAAAACAGAAGGAGACAAGAGTGCAAGGACTTGGGGCTGGGAAACAGCGGGGAGCAGGGTGGAATGAGGGCAAAGTCCTGCTGTTGCTTGCATTGCTCATTGCACTGGAGTCCCACTGGTGGAGGCAGTGCAACTGGGTGCATCTCGTGGTCCTCAGGCCCTTCCAGGTATCTAAAATGGAGTGGATCTTGCTGCAAGGAAAGACCCACTGCCCATTTTTTTGCATGTTGGGAAAGCACTTTCCCTTAGCCATACCAAGGCCATCTTCCCCCAATCCTTCCTTGCTCTCTTGGTGACCACTGAAGGTCTAATCCCTGAAGCTTCAAGATGTGATGTTCTCTGGAGGTCTAAGCCCTTGAATGTCTGAGTGTGGAAGCCCTTTTGCCTGCTCCAAAGCTCAGCAGCACCCAGGAATTGCACTTTTGGCTTCAAATCTGTTGCCACCTGCCTTGCCTCCCTTGAGAGCTGACTGCTCCTGAGGGACACAGGGGACTACAGACTGCCAGGTGGGAGGAGAGGCAGGAGGGGGTCCTGGGGTGCAGCACTTATTTTGCTTGTGTGAACACCCACAGAGTGAGCCCATGCACAAGCAGACACCTTAATATTGGAGGCAGAAGCAATCCTTCTCCTGCATTGCTCATCATCTCTTCTCACTCTTCACGCCTTCTGCCTGCTAGCATGAGCCATGTCCCCTGACATCTGGATACTGGAGCTGGGGCACACATGGGGGATTTGAAGGGGACTGTAAGGGGCTTGCAGCCACATGAGGGGTACAGGGACATCTGATGCTGCTGGAGGAGGGCACAGGGGTGCTACCCCTTCCCCAGGGCTTTGGATCTCTTGGAGCAGTTGCCTGCAGGAGGGAGGCTCTAGGTCTTAGTAGCATTTACTTTTGCTGGACTCCAAGAGGCATTTGGGAGTCCTACATACATGGATCTTTCCCTTCACCCCCATCTCTGTCCCTCCCTTCAACACCAGGTTGGTGTGGACCTCTGATGTGCCGTAGCATCCCATAATGAGTCCCAGGAGTGAGCAAGCTGATGCTGCCATCTCATGGGGGACCCAGTAGTGCTCTGTTGGTAGTGGCCAGTCCTGGGTTGAAGAAAACCCAGTTACTAACACGGCAGCTTTGCCTTTCTGTGTCGTACTGCCTGCAGCAAGGCTGAGCTGGGGGTGGATGGATTAAAAGGGAAAAGGAGAATTGCCTGGTTCATGATGGGACAGAGAGTTGGGGCTCTGGGGTTGTGTCCAAGGCAAGCAGATGTGTATGCACTCCCAGATCATCACACCCTGATCAGGTGACACTCTGTTCAGCAGTGATGCAAACGGCAAAGTTGGGGATGCCAACAATGGGGATGAAGTGGGAAGGCTGTTGGGTGAGTTGTAAAAAAGGATGACTCCTTGCCTCACCCTTCATGGGACACAGCCGGTTTATGGAGAAAGAGAAGCCATCTGCAAGCAGTGCTGGCTTTGTTCAAGAGGAAAGGTGGCTTTTGTATGCCAATATGGCTATAATGGGTAAAGTCAGCAGTGTTTTACTTCAGGGATTTTGGGTGCAAAGTACAAGGTCCAAGTCACTGCTCCCAGCAGGCCAGCAGCAGTCTGCTGATGCTCTCCAAACTAAACTTTGCATCTCTGTCCACTTAAATATGCCTTCTCTGCTGTCGAGACAGGTGCGGAGCTGGTTTCCCACTCCTTCACGAGACCCTGTCTTAACCCCAGCACTCTTCTTGGGCTGCATGGCAACTGTCAAGGCAGGAAAACATCCAACTCAGGTCCCAGGAGATGTAAGAGTGGGGTGACAGGATCCAGAATCCCCAGCAGCCTCTGAAGGCACCTGTCGTAGCAGTAGTTCTCAAATGCAGCCCGAGCACTGAGGAGGAGGAGCTACCCCCCACAGCTGCCTCTCTTGTGCCTTTTGTGTGGCCTTGTCTCTGACCCATCTTAGCTGTGCAATGTTGCGCAGCGGCCGGTGATGCACTTCTTGGGGGTTCTTCACTCAGAGCAGCCTCCCCACACCTTAACCCAGCAACCCCTGCACCCCAGCTCCACCAGCATCTCCAGTGCAGCGCCCAGTCACAGTGATATGGGAGCTCATGTGCTGAGAGACAGCAAAGCTGTCAAGTGGTCTGGATTGTCACACCCCCATCACAGTTGCTCCCCAGCCTAGCTCGAGTAAGGCAACCAGGTCTCTGCTGCATCTGTGACTTCTGACTGCAAGTGGACAGTCCTTGAAATCTAAGGCACTGCAGCTCTGTAGGATTTGGGCAGATGTGTAACAGTGTTATTAAAATTGTCTTAACATGCTCAGATTTCAAACACTAAGAACCGTAACCATCATGGGGCATTTTTCTTCCTGGATGCATGTCTGGGCAGGTGATGGGAAATCTGCCTCAAATGCTGAGCAGTTATCACAGAACAAGCAACATCCTGCTACAAAATGCTGTTTGAGATTATTCTTATCTAGGCATGATTTATGGTTCCTGAGCTTTACTCTATCCTTGGAAACATATGGCTTCAACAAAATAAAATGGCTTTTCCAAAGAGGGGCTTGTATAACTTTCTGTGGTAGTTGCAAAGGAGATAATGTAATCTGGGGTGCCCTGACTAATCAAGAAAGCATCAGCAGCACAGTTGTTCTTTGTTACAGCTTGACATCTGGTATTAATGGCCTTTTTGTGCTTTTAGTGCTTTTAAAACACCTTTCCTCTCTCAAAGCACTCTAAAACTCAATTCATTAAGCTGCAGAATATATAGGAAAAAGCTGAGGGGTTGCATGCAGCAAATTTAGCTCTGCATGTGCCAGGAGAGGGGATTGTTTGATTCTTGTGAGATGTGGTAAGGTGCAACTGGGGTGCAGCATGATGGCCGGTTTGACACAGAAGTAACATTACAGCATCATGGTTCTTCGCAGATGTCAGGGAGACGCTCCCTCTCGTATGGTGCTGGTCCCTGGACCGGCTTTATCACAACTTCTTTAGAAGGAGAACAAGCACTCTCTGAAAATGACAGTTTTCCTTCTCTGACAGTATAGAGATCCTGGAAAGAGTAAACCAAATGTTGGCACCTATATTTTGCAAGTACCTCTCTTTAGGCAGATGAACCCCCTGCAGCCAAGTCTGTATCCGTCTCAGGTGTGAAGGAGCTGGTGAGGCACTGGCACAGGCACAGGTTGCCTGGAGAAGCTGTGCCTTCCCCATCATTGGAAACAGTTGAAATCAGGTTGGCAGGTTGTGTGGAGCTTTGAGCAACATGGTCTAGTGGAAGGTGTCCCTGCCTCAATCAGGGCACCCAAAACTTTGACACAGGGGTCTCTGCACCTCAAGGCAACCCTGGTCTCTGCTGCATCCACCCTGGGACCAGGCATTGATGATGGCAGAGGGACTCAACAACCCCAGCAGCACAGCCCTGGTCTCAGGCCCTCTGGACCACACCTCTGCTGCCATTGCATGTTGCTCACCTCTGTGTGGAGCTCCATAACCAGCTCCATTCCTCCCTCTGGCTAGGGAGCTGCTGCTGTTCAGGAGGGAATCGAGCCATGCTTGTTCACAGGTTATCTCTCCAGCATAGTCAGTGCCAGAAAATGGGAAAGGTATTGGAAAATAAATACCAGTGTAACTCGTTTGGCCAGGAGGGATTGTCTGGGAGCATGGAGGGTGAGGTGTGTCCAGGGTGTGTGTGAAGTTGCAATACCGTGGGTTTGGCATGGGATGATTTCTCTTCACTGCACAGTCTCCTGGGCTGTTTGACTTACTTTGATTTGGGAATGGATTCACTGGGTAACATCTGCCATTGATTTCCATAGAACTGGTGTTTCTAGCAAAACAGAAATGCCTAAAGACTTTCCAGTGGTGTTAGTGTTACAGCTGTTTGGAAAATCTCCAAGGAAAGATATCCTGTCAGAAAGGGGTGATTTATCAAACAGAGTTTTTTTCATGGCAATTTACCATTTTTAGTGGAAAAGATTTTTCAGGTCCAGGCTGGAACAAGCAAGGACAAGAATCATCCAAGAGCAGCCCAGGGTCTGGATTAGAGATTTGGACATGGACATTCAGCACCTGCTTCTGCCTAACAGTAGGTTTGGCATGTGACTGTGGCTGTCTCCATCTTAGAGGAGTATCCTTCAGCCATGGCCTACCTTAGCATAAGTGTAATTTCTCCCATTTGTAAGGGTGGCAAAAACCCTGCGTCCTTTCCAAAAATACTGAAATTGTGACAATATTCCTGGGAGGTAGAAGCCATTTTCTACTGAGCCACAAGCAAAATTGCCTGCAAAACTGAAGCGGAGGCTTCAAAATCCTCTGTAGTATCATCTTTATTAATAACTTGATGTTTTAAACTAATTTAACGTGGTGAGGAATGGACATCTGGAGCAGTTGTCACTGTTTGACTTTTCCAAACCCCCAGTACCTACTGGTAGAAGACAGTTACGGACCAAAGCCAGGAGCTGCAGCAGGTCTCTGCTTGGTCCTGACACCAAAAAGCTGCTGAGATAAGTGGAGCAGCTCCAGAGGGATGGACTCATGGAGACATCACTTTCTGGATTTATGCCACCCAAATGTAGTCATTTAAAATTTCTTCTCTTCAGGCACCAGAGTCCTTCCATTCAGTATAAATATCTCCCCAGGCTTTTACCTGGGCATCTCATCCGGCTACCTGAAGCTGGGACCAGTGAAGCTTAGCTGGGGTTGGTGGCTGATGGGGTTTGTTGCTCCCATGAAGACCTTTGAGGTGTCCATTGATGTGGTTCATCCAAACGATGGTACAGGTGGGGTGATCTTTCCCACAGTCCTGTGGAAGGCTCTTGGGTCACTAAGTCCTTCCATACAGGTAGGACTGATACCAGGGTCTGATGCCTCCCGAGTGCTGCTTGAAGTGACCCACAGTGCTCGCAGCCACGTTTGGATGGGGATAGAGATTTGTGTGTGGTCCCACTGAAACAGATTGGATTAACCACTGTGTGCACCTCAACCTCATGAGCTGGCCTGACCTGTGTGGAATGATTCCAGACCGCAGAGAACTTGGCCCACAGTTTTTTGAGTTCACAGAAAACATGCGCATTTGTGGAGTGGCTGAGTTCATCCTTCACCCTCAGGCATCTGTGGGGTGTAACTGTACACCTTTGCACTGTAAGTGACAGCCTGCACTTGAAAACACCACTGCACTTTCCAAAAATGAGATGAGTATCTGATGTGGAGCAAAGGGGCTGCCTTCTCAAGGATCTGTGAGAGCTTGGAGCCCATGGCTGCAGAAGAGGTTTTAATGGTAACAATGGGCATCCTGGTGTCAGAGGGGTGCAAATAGTCTCTGAGCCTCATCATCCCATCAGTTAAGCAGGACGACAACTCAGAGAGAATCACAGAATCATTTAAGATCATTGAGTCCAACCATTAACCCAGTACTGCCAAGTGCACCACTAAACCATGTCCCCAAGTGCCACATCCACATGTTTCCTGAACACTTCCAGGGATGCTGACTCTACCACTTCCCTGGGCAGACTGTTGTAATCCCTGACCACATTTTTCCTAATCTCTAATCTAAACCTCCCCTGGTGCAGTTTGAGGCCATTTCCTCTCATCCCGTCGCTTGTTACCTGAGAGAAGAGACAGACCCCCACCTTGCTACGACCTCCTTTCAAGTGTCATCAAGGACAAGGGAATAAGTGCTCAGGCTCCAGTGATTAGACAGTTCTCTTCATCCCCAGATCCTGTAATGCTTCAAATCATCCCCCCATGGGGGGAATTCTCAAGGGAGGTTTAGTGGTGTGGGATCTATCTGGGAACCTGGTACATGGGTTTTTTATTTCTCTCAGGAGTGTATTCAAAGTCTCCATCTCTTTCCAATTCCCATTCCCAAGCTGAGAGCAGATGCAGGTGATCACAGAGCACATTCCCCCAGTGTGCCCTGCTGGTACTGCACAGAGGGACACAACACTGAGGTTCTGGACCTCTTGTGGTTGTGGGGATTCTGCATTCAGGTCTACTAATTAGAGCTGGTAATGATACCTCCAGCTGAGCTGCTTCTGTTCATTCTTTTACCAAAAATTGTGTGTGTGTGGGGTTTTGTTTGTTTGTTTGTTTGTTTTGTGTGTGTGGGTGTTTTGTTTTGTTTTTGTTTTTGTTTTTATTTTCCCCCTGGCAGGAAAAAACTAGAAAAGAAAAAGCCTAGGAATTATCTTAAATCTAACACTGTGTTTTCAGATGATATTTTAAATATCACTGTGCTGTATTGCAGATGTAAGCTTCAGTTTAAACTTCCGTGAGCTGAACACTGCATGCTAACCCTATGGAGGTGGATCAGAGTCTCCCAGGAGATAATTCAGGGCAGATGTCACCCTCTGGTGGAGCCTCTCCCTCTCTCCATGGGCTGCAGAGGAAGCCAAGAGAGATTAGCTAGGTAATTTAGCAAGACAAATTAAGTGCCTGTATTCAGGTAGCAGCATCTCCTCAGCTCAGCTCTTGTCCTGGTACTCTCAGTGCATCATGAGAGACACGGCACCACGAGGTCTGCATGGGAAAGGTAGGCTGGGCTGAAGCTAAACCCTTCTTGGTGGGGTCACATGCTGCAGCGGCAGCTGCTGGGGAACTCCTTCCTGGGAAATTCGAAACTGGAATGTCACAGGTCACAGCCACTGAAACGCTTCCATTCTGGATGAAATCACGTGTTTTGTTGTATTTTCTGTATCCAGTTTTGGCAACATTTTATTGGCTAAATATGTTGATACTCTGAACACCAGTTTCAGACAGGAGGAGGAAGAGAACTTCGCTTCTGCAAAAGCACTTTCCTGCAGGTCAGAAATATTCCAGTTTTGCTCCAAGGGTCTCAAGAAAGCCCAGTGACAAAAACCACATGCAGAGGACACAGAGGGTAGGTTTTAATTTAGCAGGAAATACAAATCCAGTGATTATCTTCTTTTATATATTGAAAAACATACAAGAATCAATTATATTTAAATGAGCTTATTAGCATGATGAGTGATGTTACTTATAACCTCTATAATTCTACCTTGGGTTTGTAAAGCCTCTGCTCCTCTGGCCAGGTGCCTTACCAAACTGCTACATCATAATCCCATTAGAAGTTTTTGGGGGGAGTTTGCATGCTCCCCTTTTGCCTGTAATTTGGGCTAATTTACTGTGTGTGGCTGAAATGAAGTCATGCTGGTAGGTGCACTTCAGCAGCAGTTCTTGTACACTTGGGAGAAGATACATCCACTGATAGTTTTGTACAGGGGGCCAGATTTCTTCCCAGTGCCATGGAGGCATGAGGAGCCTGAGGTGATGCTGGGAAGAAGCAAAGGAGACACCAGCACAAGTGGAAATCCACCCCTACAGATGTGGGCTTGCTCAGGCCACGAGTGTGTAGCCGATCTCTGGTTGCGATGGCACATTAGTGCTGCTGCCCACCCTGCTGCTGCTCGTGGCTCCTCGGATCCATCTGGGAGCATGTGGGTGGCTGTACTCCCAGCTGATGGGAGTACATGGGGCACACCAGGATGTCTCCCCATGCTTTGTGAGAAGGGGAGGGACCTGGCGCAGCTTGGGGTCAT